TATATTATATATTATTATATTATTATATTATATTATACTTCGTCTACGTTCATTAAACTGCTGTCTGTCATTTTATTTGTAGGTTATTTTCTGTTTCGCAACGTTCCTTCGCTCGCTACGGATTTTTGCACGAATCGACGGAGTGAGGGTCTTCGCCAGCGAAGCTTCGCTGCATGAAATTGTACCTTAAGCGGCGGGGGGCATGGGTTTATTACCAAAAACTAAAGCTAGCGGCACACGATGCTTTCTTTCCTGCTGGATTGCTTGCGTGCTACTGTGCTGGTAATCTGACTGGCTGCTATGCTGGAAATTGTATGGCTTGCAGGCCCCGCTGTTGGCTGATCCGCTGGATTTTTGTGATAGAACCGGTGCTATTTTTCTTGCTTGATTTCATGCTGGCTTATTGTAGAACCAATCACGACGCCGCTTCATTTGAAGATGGCCGCTGGGAAGCGTGTAAACACATGCGATTAATTCTCAATCGACGATTTTTCATAAAACGAAAGAATCTGGCAGAAAAAGCGTTGCTCTTCTCCGCGAACCAAAATATTTATCGGTAAAATTCATAACTCCTCAGGGCTCAGGTTAGGAATTTTTATGTACTTGTAATAAATTCCAGTTGCTCAGCCAGTACTAAAACTCGCATCGTCTGAAGCCAAACTAGCAACACACCAACAGCACAGCCAGCACTGTTGCCAACACGGCAGCAAGCACGCAAATCCAGCTAGCAATCCAGCAGGAAAAAAGCATCGTGTGCCGCTGGCTTAATAGCGTTTTCGGCTCGGCCGGGTTTGTACCAACCTGGGTTGGATCAATGGCGTTTTGTGCTCGCCTATTGGTAGAGCGTGTAACGTCAACCAATAAGAAAGATTAATTCAACCTAGAGTCCTAGATTTATCACAGAGGCGCAACCGGTGTTATGCATTCTGATTTGTTGTTGCAATCTATTATATATATTTGTATGTATGTATGTATACATATGTAAAATATGTAAAATATATTAAAATTTTCAATATTTTTGAAAAAATTTTACATAGGCGACTAATGATCTCCTATTTATTAGTGACTAGTACGTTACTGAAGCTACATTGGACGCGCATGCGTCAGAAATCCGGCCTGTCTAACAACACTGTCCTTAATTAAATATAATGGGCCGCAAGTCAGAACGTCAGAAGTCTTAACTCTTAACCAGTTTTAACCAAGGCCATGGTCCGATTCATGCTAACAACGCTCATGAGTATCTTTCGTCTTCGTTTAACATTTGACAAGCAACAAGGATGAAATGATTTTTAAGCGTTGTAAACGTGAATCGGACCGCGGCCCAAGTCGTTCAAGTTGGCTATTGGCCAACTTCACCGATTATGATTTAAGATCGCTTAGAACTTCTTGTGACTTGTGGCTTATTATAGAAGGGCTGTAAGACCTGACTATGAATACGGATATTAGTCTTTTATTTACCGTTTATTGATCAAATTAAATTCATGATAAACAAAAAATTTAATTTTTTAATTTAATTGAAAATTGGTCATGTATTGACTTCTTTATTCTATTTGACACATGATGTTTAATTTTTATTGTATATTACACATAAGAATAGAGGGAGAGAGAGACTTATTCAGATATATATATACGTAATAGAAGGCTTGTAATAAGATTACAAGCGTAACATTTATTTAATATTAATATGTACACTGACTTCGTAACAAATGTTGTCACTTATTTTTAATACTTATATTTGTATGTACAATATATAAATGTAATATATATTTTACTATTTGTGAAATTATTTTTGTATATCTCACATAATTTATTAAAGTCTAACTATAAGACAACATTTGAGGTAATTACTTGAAAAGGTTAAAACGTTCATTCAGTGTTGCATATGTTTACCTAGTTACACTACTCTTTAATTAAACTGTTCAGCTTGATTTTTCTTTTTTTGTTGTGATTTTTTCATGCCTAAATATTGAGTTTCCCACAATTTGCTGTACAAAGAATTTGGTATAGATAACAATGACTCATGTGTTCCTCTTTCAACTAAATTACCCTGATCTAACACAAGTATATCATCAGCATCCATAACTGTCAATAAACGATGTGCGATCACGATTGATGTCCGTTTTTCGGTTGCATTACGCAGGGCATCAAGTATGTTCTGTAAAGAAATTACTTATATTAAAAAATTATTTATATTAAAGGAATTAAAGGAATGTAGGAGAGATATTTAAATAATATGGCTATGTATAGGGTGATTTGTATAAAGCAACTGATTTAATTATTAGCAAAATTTCAAAATATATGAAAAAGTAGTTTGAACAACAGTGTGTTGAACATCAAATTCATTGAACGCCAAATGATATTGACCTTAAAATGTTCCCAATGCCTTCACCCGTAAAATTGTTTCACTATATGATGTCTCTTTTTGTACTGAACACATTAGTATAAACTACTACTTTTTTATATATCTTCAAATTTCGCTAATAATTAAATCGGTGATTTATACGAATCACCCTGTAAATATAGCATTTCTGAAACTTGCATGTTCTGTAATGGAATCCAAAGAAGAAGTAGCTTCATCGAAGATCAATATAGGACTATCTTTCAAAATTGCTCTGGCAATTGCAACTCTTTGTTTTTCGCCGCCACTTAATTTCAAACCACGTTCTCCCACGGGTGTGTCGTATCCTTGCGGCCATTTTAGTATCGAGTCATGTAGATTTGCCATTTTCGCAGCTTCGAAAACTTCATCGCGCGATTTTCTCAAATTACCATAGTGTAAATTATAAAATATACTTTCATGAAAGAGTACCGTATCCTACAATTTTGTTTTTGATATGTTATAAATGATATATTATAAAAAGTGCTGCAGTATATGTGCTACATAAAATAATTGGCTTTAAAAGAAAAGGATAAAACATTGATTTCACCTGTGGCACAATTGAAATGCATCGTCTGAGGTCGTCTAAATCAACATCTCGAATATTATGACCATTGATGTAAATATTGCCATTATCTGGTTCAAAAAATCTATACAGTAATCTCACAATTGTAGTTTTTCTGGAAAGATAAAAGGCTATATGAAGCAATCGTGAAGCAATTATTGATATTGATGAATTATTGATGGATTGTTGATGAATTTATGATGAGTAATCTATGTGTTAAAAAATTTATATAGATATACTTAATATCTTACCCACAACCAGATCCTCCAACAATAGCAACCTTCTTGCCACTCGGTATAGTGAATGATACATTTTTAAAAATAGGTTTTCCTTGAACATATTGGAAGTTTACGTTTCTAAATTGAATTTCTGATGAATTTGATGTCACGTAAAATCTCAGTGCGTTTTCTTTTGACTGTTAATAAAGATTCGAAGAGCAATTTAATTATTTGCAAATAGAAATAGATTGCCACATAGATATCAATATAATCTTACTTTAATTACAGTATCAGTTGTCATGAGAGTAAACATAGTTTGCATGTCAATAAAAGCTTGTCTTACTTCTCGATAAACAGAGCCTAAGAAGCCTAAAGGAACCGAGAGTTGAAACAACAAAGCGTTCACCATCACTAAGTCACCGACAGTCATACTGCCTATATACAAAAGAAATAAAGATATAGGCATTAATTTTTTTATAAAAGTACTGTGTATAATTTGATAATAAATTAACAACTACAAATGTAACTACCATTTATGATATTTTGTGCCGCCAATACCATGATGAGGCTTAGCGCACCACTGAAAATGGCATTCTGCCCGAAGTTCAACATCGCTAAGCTCGTGCTAGTCTTGAGGGATGACGTTTCGTATTTTTTCAAAGATTGATCATATCTTTCCGCTTCGAACTTCTCGTTGTTAAAACACTGAAGCAAGCAAGATATATATATTTTTAAAAATCTATTTAAAAACAAGTACATTTTACTACTGACCTTTATGGTTTCGTAATTAATGAGCGAATCTATCGCTTTATTGCCTGCTTCGTTTTCCGCTTGATTCATACGTATTCTGAATTTGGTGCGCCATTGTGTAACAGTTAACGTGAACATAGTATAAACGCTCACGCAACCTAACGCTACAGCTGAGTATTCTGGTCCACATTTTAATCCCAATATCGCACTAACTAACGCTAGTTCAAATGCTGTAGGTACAACGTTAAATACCATAGCGTTTAAAATGAAATTAATACCACGGCTGCCACGATCGATTGTCTGAAAAAGATAGTATTATATTTTTTAAGATGTAATATAGCTTTTTTAATATTTTTCATATGAAAATGATAAAAGAAGTGGCTAAATTTCATATATTACCTTCGATAAAGCGCCGGTCTGCCTACTCAAATGAAAAGCCATATCGAGATTGTGCAAATGAACAAAAACGTTTTTTGCTATTTTACGAATAGAGTGCTGTGCGACTTTCGCAAAAACCGCGTTTCTAAGTTCGCTAAAACCGGCCGCTCCAGCTCGTGCTATTCCATCTACAAAGATTCTGGAATTATTAAAAATCCTATATATATGTATATACATATATATCCTATATATATATTATCTTACATATATATATTATATATATATCATAAGAATTCTCTTACTAAAATATTAAGATATTCCAAAATAAGGTATCCTTACATCCTACTAGTAGCGACGTTGCCACAGTCGCGACTGTTGCAGGTGCACTTGTTAAATTCATCACAGCATTGCCAGACATTGCTGCGGTGTGGGCATTTAAAATATCTATCGCATACTTGAAAATAAATGGTACAAGAACATTTAAGACTTTAGCTCCTACAAGTAAACCCATTGCTATTTTTACTCTTTTCCGTATTTCTGGATCGTCCTATAAAAATAGAATACATAATGTTGTACATATTGCTTTAAATTAATATAATATTACTTACTTCTGGCCAAATATATCTAAGCATGGCCTTTAACATGTCCATACTGGTGACCGACGATTTATCGTGTAAGTCAATAGCATCCCTGCTCAAGCTAGAGATACCAGGATGGAAGCAATTTCTTTTTTGTTGGCCAGGCTTTGCTCCGGTTAATCCAGTAACAACCGATACTAATTTTATTGGCGGCACCACAGATTTAGATTGCGGTACACTCTTCTTCTTCTGAGCACGGTCGATTACATTGCCGCTGCAACACTATAATATAAAAAACATTTCATTTTTATATAAAATCAACGTATGTTCATCATGATAATTATAAATTTATAAACATGTAACAAATGTATTCACATATGTTTTATGACTACTTAAAATTTCCAAATAATCGAACCAACTAAAAACTAATCACTTGTTATCTTTGTTTTAGATAACAAACTATATATATAGCATAATAAATTGATGATTTACATACATAAAAAAATTTACGTTTTGAGAAATATTTAGCATTTCTAAAAAATTACTATACAGAGTGTTTCAGAAATAGTTGGTCAAACTTTAAAAGCATATTCTACTCATTGTAAGGATGAAAAAAAGTCATATAAACATGGGTTTGAAAACGCTTCCTTTCCCCAAGTTATAAACATTTTATTATTTTATACTTACAGTGACTGACAAAAAAAAAAGAGACCACTGTAATATTGTAAATTTTTATTTCAAAAAATTGTCAAAAAATGAAGAGAACTTAAAATAATTTAGCTCAGACAGTTTGTTATTAATAAATTTTAATATTTATAACAGATTTTTCTTTATATCTTGTTTAAATTAATTCATATTTAATTTTTTTGAAAAATGATTCACTTAATACTAGGACAAAAAAGAGACCACTGTTTTAATTAAGGATATTATTTTATAGGCTGCGCTCGGAGAGCGAAGCGAGTTTGTTTGTTTTGTTTGTCCTTTGATGTCATAACATATCTGTTGTTAACTGCTGCGAGGCACGATAATCAACAGTTGCTTTGTGAAAATGGCTGGAAAACAGACTTCTATACATATCCGAAAATTAATTATAAAAGACATCCAGGAGGGTATTTCACAGAGAACAGTAGCTGCAAAATTTTGTGTTAGCAAGACTCAAATGCAAAAATTGTGGAAAAAGTTTCAAGTGACCGGTTCAGTTTCGGACATTGCAGGAAGAGGCAAAAATCGGGCGACCACGTATCGAGATGATTCTCGTATTATACGAGAAATTAAGAAGAATTCATATTTAACGGTACAAGCTATTCAAGAAAACCTTCAATTAGATGTATATCATAAAACAATCCGACGGAGGCTTCGCAAAGCAAACTTGCACAGTCGATTTGCAAAAAAACGGCCCTTTATCAGCAAACGAAATAAAATAAAGCGCCTAGAGTTCGCGAAAAAATATATAGAAATGCCAATCAACTTCTGGAAGACAGTTCTGTGGTCCTATGAAAGTAAGTTCGAATTATTCAACTGAAAAACAAGGCTCAGAGTATGGAGAAAGACCGGAGAAGAATATCAACAGCATCATTTGCAGCAAACTGCAAATAAAGCATAAAGCACGGAGGAGGCAGCATTATGGTCTGGGGTTGCTTTAGTTGGTCAGGAGTAGGAAATTTGGTAAAAATTGATGGCATTATGACCGCAGATACCTACATCGATATTCTTCGTGAAAATCTGGAGATATCATTGCTTCGCGTCGGATTGGAAAATAATTTTATCTTCCAGCAAGACAATGATCCAAAGCATACGGCAAAAAAAGCAGTCAAGCATTTATGAAGTCTAACAGAATTCAACTTCTTGATTGGCTTCCACAATTGCTTCGCATCGACGTCGCATGGATTGTTGAAGACATTCAAAAATTTTTTACTCTCGGAATATTTTGTATTTTTTTACACGCAGCGATATGATTTTAGACTCGCCAATTCGATGTTAGAATAAGCTGCCATGTTGATGAATACTATCTTCACTCTTAAATGCTTAAATAAAGACTGATTCCAATTCCATACAGATCCATCTATAATGACTCTTTGTTTACTTTAGAAAGTGAATAGAAGTAAAATTCATGAAACGTCAAAGCGAGGCATGCCGTGTGATGTAAATACGTACAATTTAAATAAGAATTGTTTATAACACGGAAAGGAAGCGTTTCCAAACCCATGTTTATATGACTTTTTTCCTCATATCTATTTATATTAAATAAAATGGATAAATAAAAAGAAAATCGAAGAAATATTTTGATCGTTATTTATTATTCGATCATCACAATATTTTGTAAAACAAGATATGTTTAATGAAATTTACATATGTATACGTATGTACAAAAACTATTTTCTAAGTATATTTTATATTGTACGTGTAGATTATATTAATTTGGAAAGCTGCATTATATTTAATATAATATAGCATTTCTTAGTTTCTCCATATAATTAAATGCAGCATCTAAGATATTAATATACTCTTCTATGAGATTAATCGCGATTGAAAAGCTCAGGCTTTTAAATTTAACATTTTTCATATTACTTAAAGCATACATATACTTCGTTCTTTTCAAGTTTAAGACATTTATTCCTAGCTTATTGATTATACTCCGTTCCTCTGTATCGAACGTTTCGCCATATATTTTCAGTTTCCAACGGTCCTTCTCTAACTTTGTACTCGATATAAATAATGCCATTGTCGCATTGTAATTCAAACCGTCGCGAGTAAATGACATATTCTTGTGGAAACCATTGAATGTAATAAAATCTAATTTATTCCTTGAAATGTCAAAACATCTCTTTATATCAAAGATGTTAAATTGGATTTCATCTAGCGGATTACATGGAATGAAAAATCCATAATCGATATATAACTTGAGACTGTCATGTGCACCGTAATTAATAAACACTTGCGTTTCTTTGTCAAACGGTTTCAAAGTAACAATTTGATAAAATTGATTCTGATAGTTATCCGTGACAATAGATACTTTAACAGCGGCGTTCACATCGTGATTAAATAAATCTAAGAACGGCGCGAGAGCCAAATTATTAGGTTGTTTTATGTTAAATATGTTCTCCTTGCATACTTTAGCATCTACATATACAGCTCGTGTATTGACAACATAGTATGCCCATTTATATTTTGCAAATGTTAGGATCTTTTGCAGACACACATTGCAATGAGGACAATGGCTTCTATCAACATTCATGTGTTTTGTAACTTTCATTAGCAAAGAAAAATCTTCTTGCAATTTATGTGTTTGATATAAAGGACGCAATATAAAACTTGGTAACATTGCTTTCTCTTTGTTGGAACAGAAATCTGGATTTGTGAAAGACTGCGGCAGTGTTTTTAGATAAAGATACCACTTTGACTCTATACCTAAATGTGTCTCATATACAAGAAACATTGCAAGCATACATTGGGGACTAAAACTATCAGTGGTATGCAGGAATAAAGTTTTAATATGACTCTGTGATAAGACGTCTGTTGTTAATAACATTCGAAAAGGTAATTGAACCAGTATTTCATCACTTTCTACGCGCTTTAATGTTTTTAAACCTCTGCCTGAGAGGGGAAAATGTTTTGGTATTAAATAACGAATCGATGTACAGTTTTCACTTAGAAGCCAGGATTTTAAATGCGTCAGAGACTCATCAGTGTTCTCATTCAATTTTACGAAATTAAGCCTCTTCCTTCGGCGTTTTCTCGACGTTCGCCCCATTGCATATATAGATGATTATGTCTATAGAAGCAGTAACAAAAATCTTTATTGCAAACAAGTCATCCATAATAAATCTTCCAATAAATTATGATTATCACACCTTATATATCATGATACATCTCAATAATATAAAATTTCTTTGTGTATAAAATCTCAAAACTTGATATAACATTGCACAAGATAATTGTGGTTTATCTATATCTATTACTGTCTTATAAATAATAAAATAATTGAAATGTCAAGGCTTTTATTATAAACGAGCAATATTAAAAAAAGTTAATTAATAAAATTCACATTATATTCACATACGTATACCGCTAAAAATCTCAAACGTTTTGACTGACAAAGTCTTCATCAGCAATTGACAAAAAAAAACCTATTTATATAATCACTATTTTTACAAATAGATTTTTTTTTTAATTACTGATGAAGACTTTGTAAGTCAAAACGTTTAAGATTTTTAGCGATATACGTATGTGAATATAATGTAAATTTTATTAATTAATTAATATTGCTTATTTATAATAAAAGCCTTGACATTTCAATTAATTGTGTAGCATTTACACGCCTATTTCTCTTAAATAAAAAAAAAAAATATATATATATATAACCAGGAACTCACAAAATATAATAAAATACTATAAAATATAGAACCAAATAAATAAGTAAATAAATAAGTATACGATATAAAGTATTATATAAACATGTATATACAGGGTGAATTAGAGTTGTTGAACCAGCTTTTTACCCTGTGAGAAAATTGTCGACTGCACACATTATAATCGAATTAGATATGAAGTCAATAATTTTATCATAGAGTAAAAAGCTGGTTTAACGACTCTGATTTATCCTGCATATATAACGTTAAAAGTAAATATGTACAGTCATATGTATACATGTTTATCTAATATGTAATCAGGACTGAACACATTTCAAATACTTCTATGTACATTTGAAATACAGTTTGTATTTTGTATTTCATATTTCAGATACTAGATTAAACACTTTTGTATTCTGTATTTAATGATGTATTTTGCCCAGCCCTGACTAAAGTACACACGTTAAAGAGTAAATGTTACAAAGAAATAGAGTTATTGCCTCTCGTAGCAATTCTAATGCGCTTAGCTTCGTTGAAGAAATATGTATTTTGTTCAGTCCTGTACGTAATTATATAATCGATAATTGAATGCAAAAGCCTATGCCATAATGCAATATTTGTAACTATAAAATTATTGGATGCATTACCCTGATGCCGAAAGAAAGAAACATAGAATTACGTCTGGTAATGTGGAATCTATTAGATAATATCAATCGTGTCATGACTCCGCTGCTATACATGTATCTCGTCGTGTTCCACAGCTTTTTGTTGCGCAGTGTTTCACATGGCACACAATTGTACAGTACGCTCAACATTTTTTTCGTTTTTCTTTTCTATAATGCCTTCTTTTTTTCGTGAAAATATTAAATGGATACCAAAATAAATGCCATTACAAATTGATATAAGTATATTGCGACAACCGTAATGTAATCACGACATTGCAAAACCATAACCTCAATATGAATTAACCGTAAAACACATAGGTAACAGGGCAGCCGGCAGGGATGGGCGATGCTTCGTTGATTATACAAAAATCGATGTTCTTTCCGCTCAATAATCGATACTCGATTCGATGGCTCAGAATTCGATTAATCTGTACATCGATCTTTTTTTTAATGATATCGATTATGGTTGGCTTTCATTGATCTACCCAAAGTTATAACTGTCCAAGAGTCCTAGATTTATTAGAGACTAGAGAGACAGTCCCTAGCAGACATTTACTTTTAGCGTTTTCGGCCCGACCGAGTTTGCACCAACCTGGGTTGGATTAATGGCGTTTTGCGCTGTCCTATTGGTAGAGCGTGTGACATCAACCAATAGGAAAGATTAATCCAACCCAGGTTGGTGCAAACCCGATCGGGCCGAAAACGCTATTTAAGTCGTAGAAAATTAACCAATCACAGTAGAATATGAGAAGAATAATCGACTATTAGCGTATTCGATTTACTGACTC